ACCCCAAAGGACACCATGTAAAGAGTCAGTAAAGGTGTTAATTATTTTCCAACATCTGGTCAGAATATCATAGATTTTTCCTTAATGCCCTGTATGGTTCGCGAATGTTTTAGAATTTTCTAGAAGATTCCAGAACCTTCCCGAATGATAAGTTAGATAATGTTTTAGAATTTTCTAGAAGATTCGAGAACCTTCCCGAATGATAAGTTCGAGTTAGCATTTACTTGGTGAAAATTAATAACATTATAAAAATAAAATTATCACGATTATTCTGACTACGGCATTTGTTTCGGCAACACAGTAGCCCTTTTAGGTGGAGTGTTACGCTCCAGTGAGAATAAAAATTGTGAAAATTACAAGTTTTATTTTATTCGCTTTATAAACTAATTTTTACTAAGTGAAGCGAGGATAATCCGGCATGAACACAATTAAATTGAAGGCGCCTTTTCTTTTCCAGTTATAACTGACTCGGCAGCAATAATAAAATAATAAACTTCCTAATCTTATCAAACGTTTCAACAGCTTCAAAACAATGCTTTCGCTGTAACATGTCACTACCGTTCTGTACACATATTTTCTAAATAAAATCTGAAGAAATTTCATTTAACCAACAACAATACATTTGTCAAAATCCAAACCCTTAAATTTTAGACTTATGGGATAAGTACAAGAAGTGAACGCAAAGATAAATATTTGCGAAGTTTCTAAAACTGTAATAATGAGAGATCCCTTTGAAACTAGAAATAAAGCTGAAGGTCCTGGGAGAAGGCAACTACATAGGACTACAATATTTCGTAAACACACGCCTTTAAACAAAGTAAAAGACCCTTTCTACAAGCATGCTGATACACAAACCGATGGACAGACAAAGGTTTCCAATTTAATATAAAAAGCATCCCTTCCTTATCTGTTTCTATTTCGCATACAGAAAACTCACAATAGCACAGCAAAAAATAAATTTTCCACGTTCATTTAATTTGTCTTTGGAGTCTTTTATATACACATCATCTACAGATACAAACGTATATACGAATGTATATTAAAATCTTTAGAAAAATATTTAGGTTGTTCTGTTTGCGAATGACATATGTACATGCTTTTGTAAGGATTTTAACAAAGGTTTCATCGGCGTACAGCTTAGGGTTATATGAGTGCTATAAGGCTAATTTAATTGAACAGCAGACAAATAAATAACAAGGTAAAAATAATAGAGAAGTATACTACGAAATGACACAATGCAGCCCCTCTATGAACATATTGTATTACTAGTTACAGACTGCGTATGTATCATTAATATTATCTGTTCGAAGCAATCTGATCGATACTGTCTGAAATTAGCAATAGTAGATAATAAACTCATCATCATCATCATCATCATCGGGTCGTCAGTCCTAAGACTGGTTGGACACGTACCTCCACTCTTTCCTATCCTGAGCTAAACTTCGCATTTCCCTAAAACTAGAACAACCCACATCCTTAACTATTTGCGAACAGTAATCTAACCTAGGTCTACCTCTACCCCTCTTAACTCCTGTTTCTGCCTCTAATATGTCTCTGACTAGTTCTTCATGCCTGAGAAGGTGTCCTACCAATCTATTAGCCTATTTTTTATTGACTTCCATAGAGTCCTCTGTTCTCCTATTCTTTCTAATACCTCTTCACTTGTAACCTTCTCTGTCCACGGTATTCTAATCATTCGCCTGTAACGGCTCATTTCGAACGCTTCTAACCTTTTCTTTTTGGCCGCGTCCACTGTCCATGTTTCGCACCGGTACAGTGCCGTGCTCCAAACCTATACCTTCAACAACCTTTTTTGAATTTCTAAATTAACCATTCGCGGGCACAGAAGTGACTTCATTTTATTGAAAGCAACTCGACCCTGCGCTATCCTCTGCTTTATATCTCTACTACTCCTTCCCTTCTGACTTATCTGACTTCCTATAGATACCTAAAATCGGCAACTTCCTCTAATTTTTCGTATTGTTGTGTCAATACCGCAACAATCGTACAATAAGTGCAATTATAATAATTTAATGAATTTTAAATGTAAATGTTGTTGAACCCAGAAACTTGAATTAATTTTCAGTAAAAGTTCGACGGTATTCAAGTAAATTGTCAGGCCTAGGCACTTTCAGATCTAGGAGATTAAAACTGTAAATGAAGAATCTATTTTGCATAATATTCTAAAATACTTGTGCTATCGTGCGTGCTCTAGAATTTACGAGTAGCTAATAAGGTTCTCTTGATTTTAGGTATTATATTATTCTTGTTTAGAAGGTACCTTCTTCCTAGGTTTTGAAATATGAAGTTTTAAAATGATACATAGAAAAGGAAAAATATAATAGCTGCTCACATACTCTAAAGTACCTACGTATTAATTTAATAAAATTAATGTGACTATTGTGATGCATCATATAACCAACATTGACTTCAGTTTCATTTAATTTTAGCACAAAAAATAAAAAGTACTGTAAAATGTGAATAAAGATCAACAAGCTAATTGTAAAAAAATATATTCTTTAAAATCTGTTTTGTGTTACAACTTCAACAATAAGTGCATAAAGCAGATTTTTACCCACGTGCTGTCTTATTCTGTACGAGGACGAGAAAAAACTGTGTTCTAGGCGTATGAGAAATGATCTAACACTGATGTAGTAGAATTTATTAGGTAACTTGTAATACTTCCAATTTTGGCATGTTTTTTTAAAAGTTCAATTTAATTTGTAATGTCAACTAAAATACCTAGTAAATTTATTTCTGCTGGAATTTTATTTTAACATATTCGAGTCCAAAATGTAATTTTTATTATTTTCGCTTACCTACGAAGCAACGGGCTGGTGGGATAAATTGTAAATATCGCTTAAATATTTAGGTAAATTTTCCTTTTTCGTTTTCTCCGTGTAGTTTCACGGAAACGAAGTTGCAGGTAAAGCACGTAAAAGCTCATGAATAAAGTCGTAGATAAAAGTTCAAAATTCGAAAGTAAACAGTGCGCACAGTTAAAAAAGTTCACTTTTTTGAGGGGTTTTGAGATAAAAAAAACACATTAGTATACCGAGTAAAAAATCTTTCTTTGATCTGGATTACGTTAATATTGCTAAGATTGCTGGTTTATCATCTGTAAAGTCACTTCATGGTTATTATGATTTGTTATTTATGAAGAGAATTTTCAATATACTTAGTGACACAGATAGAGTCACTAAACCGCTGTTAAATATTTTCAAAACTAAAGATGGTGTTTATAAATTAAGATCAGTACGTACCTTTATATTTTTCTTTCTCCTTCTTATAGACTAAGAAGAGTTTGGAATAAATTACCTGGGGCTATTAAATCTTGTGTTAATTTTAGAGAGTTTAAGAATGAGTTATTCAATTATGTGATTAACTATCAATAATTAATTATATATAATTATCCTATTTATGTTCAATTATAGATTTCTCCACTAATATATATTTATATTTATAAATTGTTATGATTTTGTAAAAGGGCTTTTCAGCCCGTTGATTCAAGTAAA